TGCTGGCCATCTCCTGCGTGCATGCATGCGTGCGTGAGTGCGTGCGTGCATGCATGAATGCGTGCGTGCGTGCGTGCGTGCGTGTGAGGTGCGTGCGTGCGTGCGTGTGAGGTGCGTGCGTGAATCCGTGCGTGCGTGCATACATGTAATGCATTGCGAACCAAATCACGCACGGTTCATTCTTTATTTTAATTTTAATATGGCAAGGGATATAGCCTATCGATCTCAATTAGGGTTGCGGGTATGCCTACCATGCCCACGGGCGGTGGATCCGCGCTTGAACGCGGTAGACAATTTCTTGTCCCAAAACCTCTCATAGATAAGAGGAGGTCTGTGCCCAGGAGTAGGACTAAACCTGGTTTGTAACATTTTTACTTATTAAGTAGTATTAAATTCGTTCTCAACTTTTAATTTTCAATTCAGATTTTTTTATTGCACTATAAATAATATTATAATTAGTGGTGGTACAGATAATTATGCTTAAGAAAATAGAATAGAATAGAAGAGAATGATTTTTATTCAATATAGATTACAATACATAATACTTATTGAAAGTAATTTTTTGCTTTTAACACTGGTTCGCAAAAAAACCTCTGTCCTGGGAAGAACCAGCAAGAAACCCAGCGGGACTTTTTATTAAAAAGCAAAATTCACAATATAATATTTTATACAATTTTTATGAAAACATTTAGAAACAGCATGGTAGCAATCACCTCATTCCCAGGGGTTATTATCAGTCAGGTACTCTTTAGTAGTATAATAACCCCTACAAGACAATTTTTGCTTAATAAATAATTTAAACCTTTTGAATGAAAATGCATATTTTCTGGGACTTTGTTCTTTGTTGTAAAATCGTATACATTGCCCCAAGAAGAAGTTACTGACTCTTTGGAGTCGAGTAACTGGTATAACTAACTTGTGCTTGTTCCTAGTATTTACAGAATGTACATCACTATTTTTAATAAAACTATTTTTATTTTTGTGTACATACATTAAATTCTCATAAATATATTGAGACGCTAAAGATAATATATTTATTTCTTTCAATTTTTTTTCTAGGTCTAAGCTTACTTAGTAAGGTTGGATCATATCTACCCTGATTGGTATATAGTTGAGATAATACGCGAGTTAATATTAAAAATACGCGAATAAGAAATAAAAAATACACGCGTTAGAATTAAAAGTACTCGACTTAAATTATAAACGCCAATAAAAATTAGAAATACGCGAGTTAAATTTTACAAAGATCCTCATAAAATATATGAGATGATAAAATTACATTACGATTATTTATCCTAGTGAAATTTATATTCGTAAACTGCCTCCACGATACAGAAGAAAATGCTGTGGGAGTAACGTCTTTAGAAAGAAAACTTTTATGTACACGTTATTAAAAGTTTGACTTCCACAGCGTAGCTTCAATGTGTACATTTCACATACAACATATTGGACGTTTTTTAATACAACTGACTTTCGGACCAGAGTATCCAATATAGCCCAACGGGCTGAAACTAAAAAAAGCTGAAGTAGCAATAGCCATATAGCTTGAAGAACTAATAACCGACGGGGAAGAAAGCTTCTCAAGTGGCAGCATCGTACCGAGGCAAAGTGTAGTGCGTCCCCCTACTAGATAGAGTGACGGCTTGGCAAGACATGCAGGAAATCGTTGGATGCAGGTGGCTCAGGACCGTCCATTGTGACATTCCTTGTGGGAGAGCTATGTTCAGCGGGGGAGTTGTGAAAGGTTGTGATGATGATGGTGATGACTCAGAGTGAAGTGTTGAAGGTTTTGGCCGTCTAAGGAAAGGATAGCCCGGGGAGCGACCGGGGAGGCCTCGACCAGGGAAGGACCATGCTCTCAGAGAATATAAGCGTAAAATTGTTGAACAATGTTGCTGTGTCTAGCATGGGGAGGTAGAGAACCGGATTCCTTTTTACTGGAAACGAGGCATTCCATCTTAGTCTTCATGCGTGAAAATGCATCTGCATTTTGATTCTTAATCTAGGATATATGTAGATGTCTATGGGCCACAACATCCACTTACCATCAGGTGGACTGTGGGCATGTTTATCATCCTTATCTATACATATAAATAAAATTGAAGTGTATGTTTGTAATGTCAAAACAACAGCTTTTTAGTAAATGGATTTGAACGTATATACAGTACTTATAACAAAAACGCAATTCTTGAAATTTTTGTTTGTCTGTCTATTTGTTACGGCTAATCTGCGAAACGGCTGGATCGATTTCGACGGGATTTTCACTGGCAGATAGCTGATGTTATAAGGAATAACTTAGGCTACTTATATTTTACAAAAGTAATTAGGGTTCCGCGCGAAGTCGCGGGGATCAGCTAATTCTATATAAAAAAAAAACAGTAAAAACTCTACACTGTTGCAATTACACATTATTGCATGCCTTAAGCGCGTAGTGCGCAGGTGTGTTCTGCTAGGCTGCCAATGTTTTGTCGCATGAAATCATATCTAGCAATCATATTATACATACAAATGATATAAAAGCACATAGTCAGAAACATACATAACTGTTTTTCATAAAAAAAGGGATTTTAGTGGCTTATGGTGTGGATTTATCAATTCCACATGGCGGCGTAAACACGATAACTTTTGAAAATATCAATTGTTCAACTCAATCTATTATTAAAACTCTTCATCTGCCATGTGAGAAGCCATGGAGTGTAAATGGCAGTTTAATTTTGATTTGTTTAGTTATAATTATTTTTTTTCGGCTAATTTGTTTTACTAAATAGACTGCCTCACCCACTCAGTTCGGCGTCAACCGCCATCGTGAGTGGATACCGTATCGGTTGTTTGCAACTGCTCAAAAACATCGCCGACAAATACAAAATATTTAAAAAACCAAATTTCATACATACTTGATTATTATCAATAATCAGAGATTTTTATTACAATATTTTAAAAACATAGAATAAATAATAGTATTACGTACTAAAAGTAAGTAGAATGTATATATTAATACTTAAATACGTCTTGGACTTAATGGAGTGACCTGAATGATGATATGATGATCATATGAGCATTATGAGTCGTACGCTTTTGGATTTTCCAATTTTTTTTAAATTGAAGTTTGATATAAAGTTATTGGATGATTGGAAGTAATAAGGTTATTAGTGAAAACTTGTGTGTGTTTAAACTACTTTAGAAAAATTCCTTATAATCATATTACACTTAGTTTTTTTTAATGCGCTCAGGGCATGCACAAGTAGATTAACCAATAGTTTTTAAAACATCTTAGATACTTAATAACAATAAAGCTATAATAATATACATAGCATGTATATTTTTGCTCGTATTTTTTACTCGATATCTTTGTTAATAGTGGAACGACTTTAATAGTTCCTTTATTTAAATAAGTTATACTTCAGCGGTGGTCCCATATATATTAGAGAAATAATTATTACCCTCAGGATAGGAAAAATATGCGATTTTTAAGGCAATTATTTAAAAGACATTCGATTTTTTTATATTCCTCAGTCCACTGAAAAGGGTCAAGTTAAAAAACAAACTAAAAAGAATGGAAGAATTTTCCTAAAACACCTTCAGAAGTCGGAACTTCTGAAACTATTATGTGGAAATTATTTGTTTTTTAATTAAGTTAATCTGTATAAATTAGCTAATTAGACAGCTCGGATATCTTTTCAATAAAACCGTTTATTAGCCGTTAGAAGTATTATTTTTAAACTTAAAAAAGTGTTTTAAATGATCTTTGGCTATTGCTCTGTCTCCGAACGATCAAGCAACCGCGGCTCTTCATGAGTTACCACTCAATGACGAAACCAAAATTGGGGTTCAAACTTACGAAGTTCATGGTAATTATTCTGTAGTTATATGATTTATTGAACCATGTATTGGTGGAGTAATAATATCCACTACTCCATATCGTTACGTGGATGCCGTAAGAGATGACAAAGGGAAACAAACCAAAAGATCGGCAACAGCGCCTTCCTAATAACAACTAAAACATAAGAAACTTCGGTTGCCAAACTGCCTGCAAATATGGTAAATATACCCCTTATGGAAATATATCTTTTAGGCTACTACAGCCTAATAGAAACCAGTAATCAACTTCAAACAGGCAAAAATTAAAGGCTAAAGATGGGTCTGAGGTGAGTAAATTTATGCTGGCTTTTAAAATAGGCTTTTTGACCGGAACAAAGGCGACTAAAATAGGTAAGAGGGTGACAACCACCCAAACGGTTTCTTAGATAGAAAATGAGTCCTACCACCTGCTAAAGTTCTTAATTAAAAAGTTTTAAGTAGCTTAAAATAATAGTAAAATATCTTACAGTCAAAAATTGCCAAAGTTATTACTTTTTAATTTCATTTGACTTTGAAATTTAAGTTTGGAAAGATTCAATATAGCGAAAAAATAATACAGTTAAAAATTGAATAAAGGATTTGTTTGTGAAAGTAAATAAAAAGTCGTCGTGCATGGTGGGCGCAGGCAGTTCGAAAGCTTCTGTAGACTCGTACAGACGCTTGCCGCTACGCCGTAGCCCAACTGCTACGCGGCTACGAATCTCGCTAACTTTAATGTCGAGCTTAAAAATAAGTTTGAGTGTAGAAATTCCTAGTACTAGTACACATTTTAAGTTTGAATTTATATATCTAAATGAAAATGGTTCAAAAGTGTATCCGGAGTAGACATAAATAGATGTTTAAAATCAAATTATATTTAGAGTTTAAATGTAAGCAGTTATTAAAACCTTCAAAGATTAAAGATTTGAAATTTAAATATATTAATGTTAGAAGTGACGAATTAAATAGATAATTTTAAATAATAATTAATAGAAGTAAAGTGCAGTTTTTAATCAATAACATTTTAAATTTAATAGCATCGGTGTAATTATAGTTTCAGTGGCTTAATCCAATATTAATTCATGTTATCTATTAAACGTTAATATTAATAAAGGTTAGACAAGATAAAAATATCTATATAACTCGATTTTTAAAACTTAAATATGGCGGAATTGTACTTACGGCCGAACGAAACTGAAGAAGATTTTTATCAGAGATGTACAAATATAAGCTATTTCGACTGCTCCGAGGAGGAGATGCTGTGGTGCATGATCGGGCCACGTCAGCTGCCACTCGTGAGGATTGTCCCACTTTCAGTGGTGTTGCTGTTGATCTTCCTGACTGGTGTGATAGGCAATGTGGCGGTGTGCGTGGTCATCGTGCGTCACCCAGCCATGCACACCGACACCAACTACTATTTATTTAGTTTGGCGCTAAGCGATCTCCTGCTTCTGCTGTTTGGTGAGTTTCATTACATAAATTTAAATAAAATAAAATTAAAAATTAGAAATCGCTTGTAAGCGATTAGGCCACCAATGGCACCTTCTTATAATTTTTTTTTGCTTAGCAAGCGGGTTGGCATTCACTCTTTTTTATTTTTAGTTGTTGTTAGGAAGACGCTTCTCCCCATCTCCTGATTTAATTCCCTCTGTCGCCTCTTGCAACACCCACGGGATGATATGTAGTAGTTATTGGTGCATAATAAAGTATATTTCATTTAACTCATTTCGTAAAACTGAGTAAGTGGCGCAAATATGAGTCTCTGAGAGATGACTACATATTTGTGCAATATGCTGTAGAGACTATCGGTCCGTGGGGTCCACGTGCGGTGAAGTTCCTAAAGGAAATCCATCCGCGGTTGGTCGTTGCTACTGGTGATAAGAGGGCTGGTTCTTTTCTCGTTCAAAGGCTAAGTATAGCCATGCAGCGGGGAAACGCAGCCAGAGTTCGTGGCACGATACCGCGGAGAGTAGGACTGTATGATAATTAAGCTACTAGTTTTAATTTTTTTTTATTATAGTTTTAAATATTGTAAATAATAAAATATTGTATATTATGTAATTAAATTAAACATTTAATAGAAATAAACTAAAACATATTAAAATTTCAAGTTACAATCTATATACTGTTACACTGATTTCTTCTCTAATTTCTGAAAGGTATTATCTAAAGGTATAATAGGTCCGTCAAGCGTCGTAATTGGTGGGCTTCACATGTCTTCTCGGCGGACTTCACAAATGTCCTCACAGTGTTTCCTTCACCGCGGACCACGTGGCAAAACTGCACTTAAAACAATTTAATTAGTGTTGGTGGAGATCGAACGTATGTTGCACGCGTATTTTGAAATTTACAGTGATTTCTGAGAGTTAAAATAAAACTAATTATACGGATGCCATCGCGTTTAATTTTCCCGAAATTTCGGTTGCTTCACAGCACTCATTGTCATAGGGGGAATTAGCCCGGACTTACTTAACATTTAAAATATTGATTTTTAGTGCAATCTACGCATAACAAGCTTACAGTATCTTAAAGTCTAGCAGTGGTATGCTTGGATCTGGATTTAATTTAATTTACCCAGCAGGGAAGTACCCATCCATCTTTTCTATTGAGTTTTTTATGTTTATTTTTATTTCAATAGCTTTGCGAATTATCATTGGTAGGAATTGTGCTCATGGGTGCTGTAAAATAACATGTACATCGGAAATTAAAACAAAAGATTAAATTAACCACGATAGAATCCGTACTATTATTTTTATTGAATGTCAAGTATTCGCATAAATATAAGAAATCACTATGGATTTCATTATCTATACGTGTTAGAGCCATGCTGCAGCTATATTAGTAGTACAGTTGTAGCACGAATGGGTCGACTTTACCGGGGAAGGATCCCGCTCTCACAGAATACCAGCGTAAAATAGCAGCTTTATGCTGCTGTGTTTCGTATGGTGAGTGTAGAGAACCGGAGACCCTTTTTACTGGAAACGAAGTATTCCGTCTTAGTCCTCACGGGTGACAACGCATCTGCATTTTGATTCGCAAACGAGGATAGATGTAGATTTCTATGGGTCACAGCAAACACTTATCATCAGGTGGACTTTTGACATTTTGTGACTTTTGACTTTGTCACCCTAACCTATAAAAAATATGATTATATTCTTGTTCACTCCCTCTAATAGAGCAAAAATAAAATATGAATTCAACATTTTATTTTATTAACATTTCCAAAACAGGTTATTTGGTAATGTGAATTTATTTTGAAAATTATTATATTCTTCCATGATCTCACTGGTGTGGTTCAGCATCATCATCATTAGCGCGTAAATGTTCTCTGCTGAATACGGGGCTTTCTTGTTTTGGACTCTTTTTTTAGTTTTTTTTTAATAAATATCTGTTATAACATTAGATGAATTTTTAAAATATATAAGATAGATTTGGCTGATATACTGTGAGAATCGAGAGACCATACTTTAAGGGCTGTAATATTAGTATACTTTTTCAAAAATTCTAGGATTCGGTCTAAGCTTGTTTTAAGCCTACTACTAAATCTTGAGCAATTTATCTCGCGTAATCCAAGCACGGCCACACACTCGAAACGTCCGGTACAGCAATCGTCAATCCACCCATTAAAAGGAAACCATCTCTTCTGGCATGGTTAACAAAACAAAATAAAATTCATAGATTTTAATAGTCTTTTAATATATTTTTAAATAAAATTAATTTCGTGAATGTTAATAGTCCTTTAATTTTCTTGTGAAACATAAACGGAATAAATAACAGTCGGTAGAGATCGTCTATACAAATAAATAAAATTGAAGTGTCTGTTTGTTATGTCAAAATAACAGCTTAAAATAGCTAATCACTAAATGTATATGAAAGTATATACGATATTTATAACAAAAATACAATTTTTAAAATTTTTGTCTGTCTATCTGTCTGTTTGTTCCGGCTAATCTCCGAAACGGTTGGACCGATTTCGACGGAACTCTCACTGGCAGATAGCTGATGTTGTAAGAATTAACTTTGTCTACTTATATTATAGAAAAAGAATTAGGGTTCGAAGTCGCGGGGAACAGCTAGTCTAATAGAAAACTTCACGCGCCTCCCTTGTATTTTTGGTAAATATTATCAGCCAGCGCCACCTTTCGGATCCTAGTATAGCTACGAACCATCGTCACAACAAAACAAATTGTTTGATGTGAATAATATGACCTCATTCGGTAAAGTCGTTCTGTACACGATTACTAACCGGACTCTTATACGTGGTAGAGCCATGCTGCAGACTATTATGGTTGTAGTACGAATGGGTCGGCTCGATCGGGGAAGAAACACGCTCTCACATAATACCAGCGTAAAATAGCAGCTCAATGCTGCTGTGTTTCGTATAATGAGTGTAGAGAACTGGATACCGTTTTTACTGGAAATGAGGCGTAGATGAATATCTAAATCCTCAGCGGTGACAACGCATCTGCGTTTTGATTCTTAATCGAGGATAGACGAAAATATCTATGAGCCACAGCAGATACTTCCCACCAGGAAGACTATATGCTCGTTTGTCACCCCTATTCAGTAAAAAAAAAAGAGAAAAAAAGAGCACGAAGTGAGAGCAAATGTTTTATTTGCGTTCACTTTTGTGACGTACTTGTATGTAGGATTGTTTATATTGCTTTATCAAATTAATAATCTTTACTTGTACATGTGTACATGTAAAAAGAATAACTTACTTTATATATCAAATAACGGAGATGATTGACAACATTTCGCATTTTACGTTTGTATTGGTTTAGGTAATGTATTTAGGAAAATATCAATATGTCGTGGCATTTGAATCCAATAGGGATATATGACCTATAAACTCTTATTAAAGGTAACTGTGAGCCATGTTCACTTTACACAAAGGGATCAAATTGTTACTATTGGATTAAGGTTAATGAAAATTTTAACAAAAGCCTAACGTAGTTAAGTAACTTATGAGTTAGCTGTTAATGTGTATCTAAGAACAATGAGACTTAGACTTTTGGACTGATTCATACTACCGGTACTAATACGGTATAAGAATATCCATTGTCCCATATGTATGTGTCTTACAGTTGTTATATAAAAAATATATATAGTACAACACATTGAACATTCCTCGTGTATAAAATTATTGAATTATGTATTGAATACGACATATATATATATCATATATATATATATATATATATATATATATATATATATATATATATATATACATATATACATATATATATCATATATATATATATATATATATATATATATATATATATATATATATATATATATATATATATACGCATATGGTGAAATTTACAACGCTCGCTTGATCTCTGGGCTTTTAAATTTATTTATTTATACTAGTGATACACCCTGGTTCTATACCCTACCCAGGCGACTACTAGATTATTTGAAATCTAGATAACGACGTTATCTAGATTTCAAATAATCATCAAAGGCTATTTATTTCATCTTATCAATTATTCGATTTAAAAATTAAAAGTCCAAATTTTTCGGATGAAATATGCAATTAACCCTTTAGCTTATGAAAAGCCAGTTATTTCGATATTAGAAATAGATACTTCAATTTTTTTAGAGTATAGTATATGATATAATTACATTATGTATACAGTACGTTACATTAAGTTTTATGCAAATAAATTTGCAATACGTTTCAGAAATATATTATTTCTATTTATGGTAAAATATTTTTGCTGTTTTTATAGAAAGTGACAAACAACAAGCACACTTTCCACGTGATGGTAAGTGGATGCTATGGTCCATCCTATTCTCGATTCAGAATCAAAATGCGGATGCGTCATACTCCTAAGTACTAGGCAATACTATTGCCACGTTGCCTGTAAAATGGATCTCTGTTTCTCTACACACAACGTATGAAACACATCAGCATTAAGCTGCTATTTTATGTTGGTATTCTGTGAGAGCGCGGCCTTTCCTTGGTTTAGCTAACCTATTCATGCTGCAACTATAATATAGCTGCGGTGTGGTTTTATCACGTTTTTAAAGTGGTATAGCCATGTTCATTCGTCGATATTTATTAAATATCTATCTATATATATATATATATATATATATATATATATATATATATATATAACATCGAGAAAAATATTTTTAATTAGTTTTTATAATCCACAAAATTATCTGGCATAATGGAATCTGTTAGTTAAGGTTTCTTAAAAATCGGTTTAGACATTCCGGAGATTAGTTCGGAGAGCAGGCAGTCTGACTGCACTCTCATTTTAAATTAGTTATTGATGTTTTCATAGCATTCAAATAACCCCGTGAGCTTAATGGAAGCCAATTGTTACAATATTACAACAGACACGTCAATTATATTTTTATGTGTATAGATTATGAAATAATTACATAATTTATCAAAATGGCGATTCAAAAATTCGTTTTCAAATTCAAGTAATTAT